AATATTGTAAAGAGATATTCAAAGCAATGCCTTGTAATTTTATTATAGCATTAAAAAATATGACAATATCTTCCTTAGTCTTCCTCCCCCTATGGAATGAGCAGAACAAGGTGCTAATACCACCATTGAAAAGAAAAAGAAACTACTCAAGATGTGAAAAAATACAAGTTACATAATACATACTAATTTTTGTTTATACAAGTTATATGGTATCTCTTACAAACTTCATAAATCCTTCAAGGTTCAGAGAAATTTCCGTTGGTGGTGGCGGAAAAGTAGCTTGATCATTGCCGCTTCCATTGTTGGACGAAGCAACATCCTCCGCAAGTTCAGCTAGCAGTTCTTTGTAAGTTTCGTCTTCCTCTGGTTGTGATTCAGCAAGTCCAAAATTTCTTCTTTTCGAATGGATCCAATCTCTGAAAAGTACTGACTTTTCCAAGCTCTCCCTCATAGATGCTCTATAATCACCGAGTTGAAGTCTTGCTTGACTAAAAGCGCTCTCCGACGCCATTGTTGAAACTTGAATAATTAAAATGTCTCGGGCCATCCTTGAAAGTATNAAAGGAACCGTCGGGATTCACTTCCTCAATTCCCTGCGACAAATAAACTTCAAGCTCATTTAGTTGTGAAAAATCACTACTACTAGAACCTTGAGAACCCCTAAACCCCGCCCAAGCACTAAGTGCTCTTACTCCCGTAGTCTTTTAGATGATTGAGAATCAGAAGAAGAAGGAGTTGGAACATTTGGTCTAGCATGATTTAATGCAACTTGATAAGCATTATAAATAGTTTGAGCATTTATTCTAATTGAGACTATTGCTTCTGAAAGTTGAGACAACTCATCATTTTCAAGTGCTAAACCATTATAAACAGTTTCGTACCAAAATTGAGGACCTCCTAATTTCATACAAGGATTTAACAAAGCAGCAACACCATAAATAAGGGGAATAGGGAACAAATATTTTTAAAACTTTTTTCTCATAGAATCAATAGCAAATTAAAATTTTCCTCATCCTTTAAAAAATTAGCAAACAAATTTGCAAGTTCTACAATATAAACTAAACAATTAGAAATTGTAGGATAATATTGCCCAAAAAATTCATTTGTAGCAATATGAATTTTTTTTAAAAATCAACAAGCATTTTAACATTAGCCCAATCCTCATTCGTAAGGTGCTCATCATCACTTACATGTGCATTAAACGTTGAGATTATGGGGTTTTTATATTCATATGCAACAACCAAACTTTCATACATGCAATTCCATCTAGTTGGACAAGGTTTAGGAACCTTTCTTTCTCTTAGGCCAAATTCATCGCATCTTTTAAAATATTCTCTAAGTCTACTTTTACGATTTGAATAAAAAAGCCAGTTAAGAGCCATTTTAACCTTTTCAATTTTAATATTTAAAATTCTCATACCATCACCCACAATTAAATGGTAAATATGGCAAATACATCTAACATGAAAAATATTACTAAATGCAGGATTTAACGTAGTGGTAAGCAAGGCTATAACATTTGTGTTACTAGTAGCATTATCCATTGAAACTGACATTATTTCATCATTAATGCAAAAATATCTATAAATATCCGTAAATGTGCTAGCAATAAACTACCATGTGTGACGTGAATTAATTATTCTATACGCAATTATGCGTTTTTGCATTATCCAATCCTCATCAATCCAATGACTGGTAACAGTAAGGTAATCACAGTCATTGCCACTTCTACCCATATCAGTTGTAATAGCAACATGACAATTTATATGAGTAAATAAATAACGCAAATATTGTTCATATTCATGCTTATATTTATAAATATCGCTCTTTACGGTTGTTCGAGAAAAACCTTTATAAGTAGGATTAAAATTTTTTCTAATATAATGCACAAAGTTAGGATCAAAAGGAAAACTATAAGGTAAGCACATAACAGTTACCATTTTTGACAATTCTTTCCGATCTTTTTTTGGATCATAATATAAAATACCACTGGTAACAGTATTAATTCCCGGTTGAAATTGATTTGAACCGGTACTAGGGTCAGCCTGAATAGGACTAGGTACATTTTCCCCCTCGGCCAAAGCTTTCAAACGTTCATATCTGATTCTATCTTGAGGGTATTTTTTTTATGTGTCTAGCCAAAGTTCTCCTCCCCTCCCCCGATCCAAAATATTTAAAAGATAACCCATTACCACAAGTTTTACACTTAGCCTTATTTTTTGGAACTAGTTGAGTAAAGAAAGGCCAAACATGAGATATTTCCGTCCGTTTGGTAGGTTGTCTAGAAAAAGTAGAGGCAGTAACATGAGTATCATATGGGACATCATTTGGATTAGCAGGTTTATCACTAGTTAGGTTAACATCAAGAGCAAGACTAGTGGGTGTATCATCATCCGGTTGAGTTTCATCAAGATCAATTTCCTCATCATTATTTTCATCAATAGTATTATAATTATTAGAATAAAGAGCATTCATTAATTCATTGTCTAATTATTCACCGGGTGCAATATTATGGCAAAATTGACTCTCGATAAATTGTAATAAACTATTATCACTATCAAGAATAACAGGTGTAGGACGGATATGGGGTTTGGTTCGGGGAGCCGGGGGCAGGGGAGGAGGAACATCATGACCACTAGATTCGCCACTCTTTGATTTTCTCTTATTTTTACCAAAAAGTTTTTTTTTAAGGAAGCCATCTTAATTAATCAAGTAATAGCAAATAAATAAAACAAACAAAACTATAATATTAAAACTTAAGAATTGGAACGAGTTTACCGAATTGACGAACAACTTGTTGAAAATTGATTATCGTTGAAGACTTGAAGACTTCAATTCACCACCTTCACAATTTTTTCACAAATTGTAACAATAAAATAAGCAATAGTAGCAAGTATATAAGAAAATTACAGGGAGATTATGATAGATTGATATTGATTTTGTAAGAAAAATGAAAGAATGAGGGGGTATTTATAGTTGAAAATAAGGAAAAAGTGTAATTATAAAAAGTTTTGGGTTAAAACAAAGTTGGGGGGTTAAATGACTATTTTATAAATAGCCAACGACTATTTTTGACAGCCCAACGACTGTTTTTTAAATTTTTCATTTTTAAAAAAAATATTACCGTTGGGACCATTTGGCCCATCACGGACTGGTCCGGTCCCGATCCCTGGCGGTCCAAACAGTCCCGGTCCCTGACGATCACAAAACATAGGACTAGCCCACAATACCGGTCCAGACTCACTAATATCAGTTCTATCGATCCTGGCCCATTTGGCCCGCGGTCTCAGGCTGATCCCGATCCCGAACCCACCCACCTGACACGCTTAAGTTAAAAGGTATTTAAATGGATTTTGGTGACAAAATTAAGAGACAGCATATGTAGGAGAATCGGGGGCGCTTACGGTTGATCTTTTGCTGGCCAAGCGCGTCAGCCGACTTGCGAGACACGTGTCATAATAATAGTGGGTAGTAGTTTCTAGAAGGCATGGATGGACTCAGAGCCTTTGATATACTTTAATATAAAAAGTTTTGGGTTAAAACAAAGTTGGGGGGTTAAATGACTATTTTATAAATAGCCAACGACTATTTTTGACAGCCCAACGACTGTTTTTTAAATTTTTCATTTTTAAAAAAAATATTACCGTTGGGACCATTTGGCCCATCACGGACTGGTCCGGTCCCGATCCCTGGCGGTCCAAACAGTCCCGGTCCCTGACGATCACAAAACATAGGACTAGCCCACAATACCGGTCCAGACTCACTAATATCAGTTCTATCGATCCTGGCCCATTTGGCCCGCGGTCTCAGGCTGATCCCGATCCCGAACCCACCCACCTGACACGCTTAAGTTAAAAGGTATTTAAATGGATTTTGGTGACAAAATTAAGAGACAGCATATGTAGGAGAATCGGGGGCGCTTACGGTTGATCTTTTGCTGGCCAAGCGCGTCAGCCGACTTGCGAGACACGTGTCATAATAATAGTGGGTAGTAGTTTCTAGAAGGCATGGATGGACTCAGAGCCTTTGATATACTTTAATATAAAAAGTCCCAATGTCTCTGGAATTTGGTCTGTTACTACACAAAAAAAAAAGTCTCTTTTCTATTTTTGGACGCTAAAGGGTGCATAACTTTCCCCCCTCTCTCTGCCGGTTCCTTAGATTTCCCTCTCCTCAGGTAATTAATCTAAATTCTGATATTTTTAGGGTTTTGTTTGGTTTTATTTACGGTTCCTTGATATTGATATTTGTATGGGTGTATCTGAAGGTTATTGTGTAAAAGATTTTCCCTCTCTTCCCCCAAAGTAGAGCTTAATTGTGGAAATTGGTACCAGATTAGGGTTCTCTTTTTTCTAATTGCGATTTCAAATTAAAATCGCCTAATTATTCTTTTGTCTACTTTTTTCCCGTCGAATATTCTTCTGCTTCTGGCATGTTAAAAGCAAGCATTTCCTCAAAAAGCTTTGTTGCAACATTGATTTGACAATCCGGATAAATTGTATCGGTTAGTTCGTGGTGCTTTTTAACTGGATGCTATTACCCTGACCCAAAAAAATAAAATAAAATCGGAGACAACGTCTAACTCTTTTTGTGTGTGAATTAAGACATGTATTCTTCATTTATTTTTTCTTTTGGACATAAATGTTTGGCTTAACTAATTGGAAGTAGCTGATAAGCATCAAGTGCTATAAATTCACTTCTAAGTGCTAGAACTGATTTTACAAAAAGGCAGTTATGTATTGAAATTGATAATAGGCTAAGCTTTTGTTTTCCAAGATAAGCCGCTTCTGAATATTTGCTTTAACCGGTTCATCACTATTTCCCTTTTTAGACCTTTGTTTTCTCTAATGTTCTCCTCGGTTGTGAATATTCCAGGTCATCTTTTCAGCTCACTGAGTTTTACGTTGCAGTCTACCTAAGAAAGCCTTTTTATTGAACTGTTTGAGATGGCTGAGGTATTATTAACCTTATTTCATATGCCAGTTATAATCAATCTAATATTAGTTCTTTCACTAGACTTTGTGCATAGAGACCTTTACTTACAAAACATAACTTTGATTGTTGCAGGAGGGTCACAAGGTTTCCTTGAACGTCTATGACTTGAGCCAAGGTTTAGCTCGCCAGTTGTCTACTACATTTTTGGGGAAAGCTATTGAAGGAATATGGTAAGTTGCATACTATCTGAAGGGCATTCTTTTCTTTTGAGTGATGATTGGATGGGGTTAATTGGGATATATTGAAACCAAATTTTCTTTTGAGTGATGATGCAGGGGATGGGGGTAATTGGGATATATTGAAACCAAATTCTGCTCTCTGATTAATAAGATTAAGTAAAATCCTATTACATAGAGGAGACCGACGCTTATGTGCTTGCCACTTAGCTTATGCCTTGTCGACTCTTTAAGAGCATAACTTGAGAACATTTAAGCTAGGTGGCATTTGCATGTTTTCTTATAGTTTTCTAAATCCACTAGTCTTTAAGAGTAACGTTTCTGTATGAGGTAAAGCTTTCCTGCTTTGGTGCATCAAAGCCAGCAGAACTGTCTTCCATAGCCTGATCTTATATTAAGTTGCGACTAAACATATTGGTGCAGGGATGATAAACTTTCTTGTGTTTTTCTGTCCAATTTCATGGAGGTCTTACCTCTCCTGTAGTTCTCACCTAATGAGTAGTTCGTTCGTGCCTGTCATAGCAGTAGTGTGAATTGTCTTTCTATCTCCTTTAATTCAGATCTTTGTGTATCTATCCTGTAGGCACACAGGAGTGGTGGTTTATGGTCATGAATATTATTTTGGAGGTGGTATACAACATGCTCCAGCTGGGACGACTCCATATGGGACTCCTATTCGAGTTGTAGACCTTGGTGTCACACACGTACCCAAGGATGTCTTTGAAATGTATTTACAAGAGATAAGCCCTCGGTATACTGCAGAGACATATAGTTTGCTAACCCATAACTGCAACAATTTCAGCAATGAGGTTGCTCAATTTTTGGTCGGTGCAACCATTCCAGATGATATTTTGAATCTTCCTAACGAGGTTATGAACAGCCCAATGGGTGCCCTTATAAGTAAGTTGTTCTTTGCACTTTCTGTATTGAACCTCTGTACGACATTTCTGATTGACGTAAATACCTGATCTTAGTGAAACATGAAGTTCTGTGTTGGTTACCTTTTTGTCTTTTTCATATCGTAAAATTTTGCTGTTCTGTGTTGGTTTCCTTTTGTCTTTGTCACATCCAGAATTTTCAGGAAAGATGCCTCGTCTTGTGTGTAAATGCGCCTTACTTTCATCATTAGTTCTGTGAAGTGTTGTGCGTGTTACGTGATGCTTTCTCGGACAAAGTTTAATTCATTGTTATGGAGGCCTCCATAACTTAAGAGTTCTTATATATTCAAAATAGTGCAAACCATCTCCCTCTTTGGTAGTAATAGCGATATACTTGAAATGACATTTGAGCTATGTACAGTATTTCAGCCTCACCATTTACTTGTAACTTTCCCCATCAATTACTTTTTGCTTGGTTTATATGCAAAAAGTTACTCATTACTTATCAAAGAAACTATATACATTGCTGCTCAGTGCATTGAAAGTAATTTCTGGAGGAAATTTTTGTTTAAAATGTTCAGTTTTTAGGCTTATTCCACGTATTATTATCTTGATGCAGTGCCCATGATACAACAACTGGAATCAACATTGAGGGCTAACGCAGTTCCTCAAGCACCCCAGTTCAGACCATCTACTGTTGCTTCTGCTTCCCGGCCGATGGTTTCTGGTGGAAAGAGCCAAGTTGGAGAGGATAAATCTGGATCAGTAGTGAAGCCTGCCAAACGTGAAGAAAAACCTGTGGGAGAGCAAGAGAAGACACCTGCTAATACTGCTGTGAGGGATCCTCTGGGGGACTCACGAAGCAAGGTACAAGAGGAAATCACCCGTGAATTTGCTGCAATCATGGCAACTGGAACATTGCGTGCGAGTGAGGCTGCTGCTTTAGCAACTAAGAGAGTTATGCAAAGATATGGACACACAACTGCTGCTTTGAACTAATGACAAAAATGTTTGTCAATTCTTAATTTTTTCACATCTGTTGGATAAGTAATATCCAATTGAATGATGTGAGCCTAGACATTTAGGCTATTAAGTAGTAGGAGGTATCTCGAATTATTGATTCCTAACTAAGATTGTTCCTTGAAAGAGATCCGTATCTTGTACGCCTTTTGGATTTTATTAATTGAATAAGAACTTTTTGCAAGACCATGCGCTTCTGATTGTGCATAAATAGTTGACTCCCACGTAGATTCAGAAAGTTGAGGAGAACCTGAAAAACAGGGGAACAATAGATTTGTGATAATTTGAACTGTAAACTAAGAATGTGAGCACTACAGATAAAAAGTTGAGTGAGATATTCGACATCATGTTAGCGTCTTCTTTGATTTGGTTTGGTTCGATTTTCCTTTGTCTTTTGTTGGAGTGTTCAATAGATCCTACTTTGCCTTTCAGTTTCTAATGATATTGTTGTGAAGTTTGGTGAGAATTTATTAGAACATGAGCTTTAATGTTTGCCAAAATATACAATGGTATATTATGACAGAAGATCGAAAACAAAAAGGATTGATTAAATAGTTTATGGGTCATGACTATTTGAAGGAAACACGCTGGTTAACCAGATAATACATTAAAGGATATGAAATGAGAAAAGAAATTTGGAAGTGTATGTAGTTTTTCAATGAGAAATTCACTTCTCACACATAAAACTTAATACTTGCTCACTAGACAGGTTAAGAAGTTTGTCCGCGAAAGAAATACTTGTGTGCTATAATTATTGTGAGTTCTACTTGTGTTTTCATTGCATTCAAATCTTTACAAAGCAATACTTATTTCGGAGGTTGTCCTTTGCAGTTGCTATTTTCTTGATAGATCTGTTCTCTCATTTACAAACTATGATGAAAAAAGAAGAACTAAAAAATAAAAAGAAGTAATACTTGCACATAACATTTCCCGGATTAAGATTTTTAAAAATAATTAGTATAATATATGAATTTAACAGTTAAGTATATACTTATATATCTTTTTGTTCGGTAACTTTTTGGTACAAAACCAAAAACCAAACCTAATTATCAAAATTACAACCGAAAATTTAACTAAATTATTGAATCTTTTTTCGATAATTCGGGTTTTATCCAATTCTGAACGCCCCTAAGTTTATGACATTAGGTGGAGAGAGGCAGGATAAGGTAATTTTACAGTCAACTCAGTCACTTAAAAGTTTGAATTTTCCAGGAAAAAAAGAAAAAGGATTCAAATAATCGATCCTTCCTGCACGTGGGAAGTCATGCATCCAAGTTTGAAAAAACAAGTGTATTTCGAAGCTTTCATCTGCAAAATGAAAATTGAAAGAGATAATTCTCACTTGATGTATAGACTATAGTAAGTATAAAATTTTGGGGTTTGCATTGTTATATCTGCACAAGACAGTAAAAGACTGGACACACCTATACTTTTGCTAACATTGTGGGTGTCATTGAGCTTTGAACATGCTCGGGAAAGAAAACAAAGAATACGTTAAGTTCCCTTCTGTAACATTGAGTAAGATTAATTAACATAAGATACACCTAAACTACTGCCACCAGACAAACCCGTCACCATTGAGCAAAAAGAGCTAGTCTACCTTGGTGATAGGTGATCTTGTTCTGTGGACTGGATTTTCCCATTTTCAAGTTCAATGCTTGCTTCTTCTGGTACTGAACATGCGTCTGAAGGGATGTTAATGCCTGCAAAACCAACCATAACAGCTGCAGCTCCAATGTAATCCAAGATAGGGGGAGCATTTCCTGTCAGTGTATCCACGATTGCAGCTAGCGGGACCTGAATGGTGAGTCCTGCTGTTGCTACTGTTGTGGAGGTTAAAAGAATAGCCTTGGCCCACAGTAAATCGCTCAGCACATTATCAAACATACCTATATATGGTTATTTTGAAGTTAGTAGTCCATGTGTTATGTGGCCTCCGACAAGATCAAGTAAACAAAAACCAAAAAGTTGGCAATGACAAATCCCAATCCGAAGAAAAGGAGAAATTCTTAAAGATGAGATGAATGAAGAACGTAAAGATTGTCACCACAGTTGGATAACATGTCTATTTCCCCTAGGGTAACTTTCACTACTTCAAGTAGTTTAGAAGCACGGATTCCTGATGAAACATCAAAGCGATTAAAAAGAAAAAAGCTATTGCTAAATATCAAGCTCAGAATAATAGATGATTCAAGGCTCCCTTGACCCAGCAAATCTGACATGGTTATTAGAAGTTTAGATGCGCCTGTACAATGTAGTTCAGCCACATTAAAAGAATTAGAAAGAGAATGATAATGCCAAACCCCACTCCCTCAAAAAAATTAGAAATTCATGAGGATGAGATGAAATATAACAAGAACGATATGCGACTGTGGACGACATGCCTAGCTAGTCTAACTCTACGTTTCACAACTAAAGAATTTAAGGTACAGGATGCCTGCGCACTTGATGATTGATGAACAGCTAAAAAATCAAATTTCATGATACTAGCTGATTAGAGAACTATTTTACAGTTGACGTGAGTGATTTGAGGTCCAGTCTCTAAATTTGCTTCTGCAGTCAAGTTTCTAAATTTGCTTCTGCAGGAAGGACTCATCATCATATGACTGAAGCTTATAATCTATGCTTCCTAGTTGTGCTTCTCCTAATCTCAATTATCAGATGCAGACAAAATACAAAATATAAAAATCACGATAAATAATGAATTAGAGAATGATTAAAAGTTGTTGTGTACAAAAAAAAAAGAGGCATCCATTTTTGTTTTTGTTTCTGATTTTCCTTCCAGCAGCTTAGCCAGGGTCGTACAGCGCCAGAGACTCTTTCTAACGGAAAAAAAACTAAACCTTATATGAAAAAATATAGAACCTAGAACATTTCCTCTACTCGGCAATGTAAAGTAAAAAAGAGGACTTCACTTTTGTTTTTGTTTCTGTTTTTCCTGCCAGCAGCTTAGTTAGGGACATATTCCATCAAAGATTCTTGCTAACAGCAAAAGACGCTCTTTTTCTTTATTAAAAAAAAGGCTATTACGGCGTTTGAATTGGTATAAGCTTTTAAAAAATGGCTTTTGAATAAATAAGAAAGAAGAAGACAAATCTGGTGTGGGTTTGAATAAATAAGAAAGAAGAAGACGAAGAAAAATCCGGTATAAGTTTTAAAAAAATGGCGTTTGAATCTGGTATAGCTTTGAAAAAATGGCCATTTTTTCTTAATTACCTGATAAAAAAAAAGGACCGTTTATGGTGTTTGAATACGTAAGAAGAAGAAGAAACAGGATTATGGGGTTCAAATTTGTATGGTTTGAAGGAAAGAAGAACTCCCTGGAATGGCCAAGTTTAAGCCATCGATGAAAAAAAGCTGTCTAAATGAAAAATAGAGCAAAGTTTTAAGGGGTTGTCAATGTGTATCTGGCCTATGTTTTCTCCTTTTTATTGAATAGAAACTAAATCTTCTTCTATAAGTTGATATCATTTCCATTCAATCTCATACCAAGATAGTATTATCTATACATGTAGATTTTACATCTAATAGTATAATTCTCTCATCAAATCGTCCAAAACAGGCACATCAGTGGCTATCTTCAATAAAACATCTTCCTTGCTTTCACGCTTTCTGTCCAAGTCTCATTGGTTGATGGTATGGAATGTAGTCTCTTTATACTGTCTTGAACAATCTTTACCTCATAAGTTAGTTTTTGGGCTTAAGTTAGGTCCAAGGTCTGTTTCACTTGACATCGTATCAAAACCAGACATTCCTAGTGTTTTATTACCCAATGTTAAGCCCCTATTATATGTTATCCGTGCTCCAGATATCCAAATCTGGGTATACATAGGGTGTTAAATCCCACATTGGTTGAGGATGTGTGTAGTCTCTTCATATGGCCTTGAACAATCCTTATATCTAAAGCTGTCTTTTCTACTTTCTTTACACTTTCCACCTCCTGGCTTGCCACAGCATCCATCACTGTACTAGGTAATGTCTAAGCTATGTTGTATAGGGAGTAAACTTAGACCATAGCTAAAGTAAAGATTCAAAGCTGATCCTTATAAAAAAAGGAGTAAAGATGCAATCTTGCAACAGATGGTCCATATCTTTCTCATGCCTTTCGCCTCCCCGCATACTACGATGCATCTCCTTTTCCTCATATTATCCGCATTTAGAATAGTATCTCAGATAACACAATGTAAGAGTGCCACCTTCTTAGGAGTTTCAGGGGTGATTGGACATGCAAATTTGGGTTCAATGTGTCTGTTGGTTCTATTTCTTTAAAAAACGTTCTTCAAACTTTAAAAACACCTCAAGCACTTCAAAATAACTATTCAAATCTGCTTTGTCTTCCAGAAAACTTCTCTATATTATCGTTTGCCAGAGTTAACCATGTTTGCACTTCCCAAGAACTTCCCCTCAAGTGGCAGACCAAGTACTTCGGTGAAGTGTTTCCATTTTACAAACATAGATCATAGATAACTCATGAGTATTATGTACTTCTCCAACTGCGAGTACCTTGAACTACCATATACTGACCTGAAACTCAGAACCGCCTCACGTCCCACCAGTGTCCTGAATAAAAACAACTGTCTCATCTGTTGTTCACAGAAAACCAAGTATTATAAACTTTCTGATAGTTCGACGAACAAAACATATTACTTCCTCCGTCTCATTTTGTATGAACCTGTTTGATTAGGCACGAAGTTTAAGAAAGAAAGACAGAACTTTGGAACTTGTGGTCTTAAACACGCCATGACATTTGTGTGGCAACAAAAGCATGTTACTTAGGTAAAATGGGAAGTTTAAAGTAAAATTGTTTCAAAATATAGAAAGATATCATTCTTTTGGGAATAGACTAAGACGAAAGCGTGTCATATAGACGGGTACTTCTTCTTCTTCTTATATCATTCACAAATAGATGTCTAAACGTTCCCTTCTACTTTTTTGCCAAATAGAAATAGACGTCTGAAACCATTCTTTTCAAACTAAGACAGAGGTCTAGAGATTGACAGAGACGTTAGAAGCCGCCATAAATAGAGAGGAGCAGCTGTGCTAGGGTTTGTTTCCTAGTTGAGAGTGGGGTATCTAAGCAGGTTTCTTCGCTAGTTACAGGTGGGAGTAACTAAGCTAAGGTTCCTTCGCTAGTTGTTCGTATGCTGGGGTTTTAAAAAGTGGTTCAACAAAATTCTTAAGAGAAAT